GGCACTACAAGGTTCCAACGACCCCGACGCACTCAGTGGCGCAGTACCGACGGCATCGCCTACGGAATCGAGACTGGCAAGACAGATGGCGCTACTACTGGCGGCCAACAACGGCAGGAGACTATAGACAGCAGACGTAGCTACTGCATTTCTTCAAGGACGACCCCAAGAGCGTGAGTTAGATGCGAAGGTGCCCAAAGACGCGGCAGAGCTCATGGGCATCGAGCCGAATACTCTTATGAAGCTCATTGAGCCAATGTGCGGCCAGGTGCGATGGACGACCTGAAGGCCAGTGGTCTCAAGCAGCATCCTGTGGATCCCTGCGCGTTCCTCAATTTCGATGAAGACGGCAATAATGACGGGTTCATTCTACTTTATGTGGACGACATGCTGGGAGGTGAAGATCGGCGGCCGGGCAGTAACTATAGTCGAGCTATCACCGAGGTGAAACGAAAGTTCAAGTTCAGGAAATGGATCGAAGACGACAAGATGGACTACTGCGGCAGTGACTTGACGCAGACCCCGCATTGGAAGAACCCGAAGTCGAACAGTAGCGAGATTGAGGTGAAGATGGCGACCTACGCGAAGAACTTGAAGCCCATCACGATCGACCAGAAGAGCAGCGACAACACGAGGGAGCTCACTATCAAGGAGAAGCGGCAGCTACGAGGCCTACTCGGAGCGTTGCAGTGGCCAAGCTCTCAGGCGCGCCCTCATCTTTCGGCTTCGGTCAGCATTCACCAAGGGCAACTACCTACGGCAACAGTGGGCACGGCCAAGGAGGCGAACAAGACACTGCGGTTCTACAAGCAGAACTCGGACGTCGGGCTCAAGATGAAGAAGATCGGCCAGGTATGCGACATAGTGTTCGTAGCAATGACGGACGCAGCCTGGGGAGTTCGACAGGGCGGTCCCAGTCAAGGTGGCTACGTCATCCTGGCATGCCACAAGAAGATATTCGACGGACACGGGTCAGACTTTAGCGCGATCGACTGGATGTCCTTCAAGCTACTGCGCATGGCACGTTCCTCTCTACATGCGGAGTCACAGGCAGCAGCAGCGGGCACGGATGGCTTGGAGTTTGCGAAGCGATTCTGGGCAGCCCTGATCTACGACGGCGTGGACATCACGAAGGATGAAAGCACCCACATGGCGGGTGAGTCAGCATCAATTGTAGACGCGAAAGCGCTCTACGACGCGGCCCAGAAGGAGAGTATCACTAGCTTCCAGGACAAGCGGACCGGCATCGAGGTGCTAGCGCTGCGTGAGAGGATGGAGGCTACAATGACACGCTGGAGGTGGGTATCTTCAGAGAGGCAATACGCGGACGGGCTCACGAAGATTGCGGCGAGACAACTCCTCGCAGACCGTCTGCGATATGGCAGGCTACAGCTCAAGCGTGACCCAGACTACACGGCGGCGAAGAAGAAGACCAAGGAAGAGCGACAGGAGAGCATAGATTAGACCAGGCCGGTGGCATCGGCGGCTACGCGGAAGGCAACGACACCGTTCATGCAGTTGGCGGTGTTCGCAACTTGTTGTTGCAGATCGGCGGCTCACTCGGGCTACGACACGAAGAAGGAGAACGACGGCTATGGTAGCTTGATTTGGTTTGCCATGTTTTTTTTGTTTATTTTTTCCATATGTCTTGGGTTATGTGGTGCCTATCCCGTTGCATCCTACCAGATCAAGATCAAGGAGGCCGAGTACAAATACAAGACTGAGTTGGCAGTTCTACGGGCGAAGGCCGAAAAGGAGCGGATCGAGAAGGAGAGTGAACCAAAAGGACCACCAAGTGACGAGCGCGGCGGCTCGTCGAACGACCTGTACACGGCCAGGACGGTGGTAACGCAGAGCATGACGACATACAAGCTCAGCGGAGACGAATGGAGGTTTCAGCATCAGACCCAGGGTTTTCGCAGAGCAGGCGAGGTGACGACCGAGCCAGAGTTGACATAAGTTTTTCGAGTTCACAAGTGAGGTTTGTATGCAATGCTATTATTTCTTTGTTTTGCGGCTTTCATTGCTTGCCGCCCGAGAGGTTACGATGGTGGATTTCGTTTGGAGATCCCTTTGTGATCGTGGATTTCTTTTGGAGATCCATTTGTCTGCAGTACTATATATCGACATTGCTTCTTTTAGCGCGTAGTTAGTTACACTTTCTCACGCATTATAATTTTGTTTCTCATCATGATTATTGTTAATGCGGTCTTAGGAATGTGTATCTTGATTTGTTATATTTCAGACTGAAGGATGGCTTCTCTCTGTTTCATTTGGTGTTACTCTTTCACGGGTGTGAGATATACGCTGTACATCTAGTGTGTATGCTATGTTGCAGTGTGCAGACAGTGCAGAGCAAGGCTGTAGCATAGCGGGTGTGCCATTTCACGTTGGCCCAAACCTTTCAGGGCCCTTGAGTCAGACCGAGCACGCTGTGGAAAACGTCTCAGATGTTTCTCTGGTTTCTCATTCTCATTGCCATCAAAGACTTCGTGGGCTTTGATAAGTTCATACCCCACCCTAGTCATCACCCCCCCTCCCTGCCGCCCCCGACCGAGGCAGGACCAGCTCTCGGTCCCGAGTCATGGTGGCGACGGCCCCGTGGCCCAGCAGGGGCGACCCCCGATGGCCCATAATGCGGGATGACGAGTAATGAAATAAATGTGAGAGAACGCTTAACTAATAGTTTCCTGCTGTTTCTGCATAATCTCCTGACTGGAAGAGAACGAATTTTAAAACATATCCTGGCGAAGGACCCAACCATATGCAATTGTGAATAACGCTTTGTGGGTGCCGCTTTCGTTGGGGCCCCTTATGGGGCCACGAAAGGCGTGCCACGAAACGCTGTCCTGGGTGTACGGGCGCATGAGGACGGTAGCACTGGGGCCTTCGGTGGAGCTCCCTATGGGGCCACGAAACGTGTGAGGGGTGTGCCGAAATGGGTGCGGCGCCGCCATGCGAACGCAGCCACTGGGGCCTTCGGTGGAGCTCCCTATGGGGCCACGAAACGTGTGAGGGGTGTGCCGAAATGGGTGCGGCGCCGCCATGCGAACGCAGCCACTGGGGCCTTCGGTGGAGCTCCCTATGGGGCCACGAAACGTGTGAGGGGTGTGCCGAGAATGGGAACCGCAATGCGGCAGGGGGGCCTTCGGTGGAGCTCCCTATGGGCCACGCCCGAAAATGGCCGCATGCGAACGCAGCCACTGGGGCCTTCGGTGGAGCTCGGGGCCACTGGGGCCGCATGTGGGGCCTTCGGTGGAGCTCCCTATGGGGCCACGAAACGTGTGAGGGGTGTGCCGAATGGGGGGTGGAACCGCATGCGGGCGCAGCCACTGGGGCCTTCGGTGGAGCTCCCTATGGGGCCACGAAGCGTGTGAGGGGTGTGCCGAAATGGGGGGTGGAACCGCATGCGAACGCAGCCACTGGGGCCTTCGGTGGAGCTCCCTATGGGGCCACGAAACGTGTGAGGGGTGTGCCGAAATGGGGGTGGAACCGCATGCGAACGCAGCCACTGGGGCCTTCGGTGGAGCTCCCTATGGGGCCACGAAACGTGTGAGGGGTGTGCCGAAATGGGGGTGGAACCGCATGCGAACGCAGCCACTGGGGCCTTCGGTGGAGCTCCCTATGGGGCCACGAAACGTGTGAGGGGTGTGCCGAAATGGGGGTGGAACCGCATGCGACGCAGCCACTGGGCCTTCGGTGGAGCTCCCTATGGGGCCACGAAATGTGCCGAAATGGGGTGGAACCGCATGCCGAACTGGGGCCTTCGGGAGCTGGGGCCACGAACGTGTGAGGGGTGTGCCGAAATGGGGGGTGGAACCGCATGCGGACGCAGCCACTGGGGCCTTCGGTGGAGCTCCCTATGGGGCCACGAAGCGTGTGAGGGGTGTGCCAGAATGGGTGTGAGAGGGGGAGGAGGGGGGAGGAGGGAGGGAGGAAGGAGGCGGGAACGCGGGGCACCGTCTCTTCAAAACGAGGACCCAACACTACAGGAGGGTTGGGAAATAGTTTTCCAGCCCGCGGCCGGTGTTTCCTGATCGTCATCCCGGGCGCCGCCGCGTGAACACGACCCCCGGTCGTTTATGAATCGTCATCCTCCATTATCCACGACGCTCTTCTCTCTCGCGGCGCGAAGGGGGGGGCCCGAGGCTGGGCGTCGGGAGCCACGGCGCCCCGGACAGACAGCCGGGGGTGCATTGGAGAGGACACGCGAGAGGACACAGGAGGAGGAGGAGGAGGAGGAGGAGGAGGAGGAGGAGGAGGAGGAGGAGGAGGAGGGGGGAGGGGGAGGAGGAGGAGGAGGAGGAGGAGGAGGAGGAGGAGGAGGAGGAGGAGGAGGAGGAGGAGGAGGAGGAGGAGACGGGCCTCTGGAGACAGGACGCAACTCTCGCCATCGCCCAAAGCGTCCATGCCCCGTGCCTTGTTCGGCTTCGCGCGTGCCTCCTCCTGCTAGACGACCCAGCCCGAGGGCCCTCGCCGAGGCAACACATGCACACGCCCGAGCGAGGCCGAGGATCCACCAGATCGATCGAGATCGACGGGATCAATCGGATCGAGGTCGACCAGGTCGACCCGAGCGAGATCGACCAGACCCACCCGATCGAGAACCGGATCGACGGGATCGATCGAGATCGACGGGGTCGATCGGATAGAGGGAGGGAGGAGGGAGGAGGACGAGGACGAGGACGAGGACGAGGGCGAGAACGAGGAGGAGAAGGAGGAGGAGGAGGAGGAGGAGGAGGAGGAGGACGAGGAGGAGGAGGAGGAGGGGGAGGAGGAGGAGGACGAGGAGGAGGAGGAGGAGGAGGACGAGGACGAGGACGAGAACAAGGAGGAGGAGGAGGAGGAGGACGAGGAGGAGGACGAGGAGGAGGAGCAGGAGGGGCCCGAGGCGGGTGCCGCGGGCCCGCGCGGCGCGGCAGCGGGGGGGGCGCCTCCGCCCCCCGCCTGCAGAGGGCCGCCCCGGGCCAGCCCACGAGGAGCAGCGCGGGGGCCCCGGGTCAGGCGACCTGCGGCGGGGATGGGGGAGGAGGAGGAGGAGGAGGGGGAGGAGGAGGAGGAGAGGAGGAGGAGGAGGAGGAGGAGGAGAGGAGGAGGAGGAGGAGGAGGAGGAGGAGGAGGAGGGGGAGGGGAGGGGAGGAGGAGGAGGAGAAGGGGAGGAGGAGGAGGAGGGACGAGGAGGAGGAGAAGGAGGAGGCGGAGGAGGAGGAGGAGGAGGAGGAGGAGGAGGAGGAGGAGGAGGGGGAGGAGGATGAGGAGGAGGAGGAGGAGGAGGAGGGGGAGGAGGAGGAGGAGGAGTGGCCCGGATGAGGGGCCACTCGGCGAAGAGCACCCCTTGCCATCGCCCGGACGTCCACTCCCCGTGCAGCTGCCAGAGGATCCAGGGTGCTCCGCGAGGGCCCTCGCCCACAGAAATGCACACGCGGCCGGGCGACGATCAGAGACCACAGGCGCGCGGTTACCACGGGCGCGCGGGAGGAGGAAGTGCGTGTGCCTTGTGATCCCATGGAGGACCGACGGGCCCGAAAGGGTGACCGTCGGACGCGGGCAGTCGCTCTCGTGTCCCGCTGGAGCCAGTCGGCGCTGCGTGGGAGGCGGAACGCCTCGTGGGCTCTCCGTGAAGCCCCGTGAGGGGCGGTGTGACGCTCCAGCGCAGCGCCGAAGTCAGTATCGGCGGCTCCTCCACGCTGCGCGGGCTGGCGGGGCCCCCGCGTCGCTCTTCCGCTCGACCTTGCGCTACGCCGCGCCGCCGCGCGTGTGGCCGCAATGACAAAACAAATGCGTGCGTGCGTGCGTGCGTGCGTGGGTGCTTGTGTGTGTGACGGGTGTTGGTGCGGGTGCTTGTGCTTGTGTGTGTCGGGGGGGAGGGATGCGGGTGTTTGTGCGTGTCTGTGTGTGTGCGTGTGTGTGTGTATGTGTGTGTGTGTGTGCGTGTCTGCGTGTGTGTGTGTTTGTGTGTGTGCGTGTGTCCGTGTGTGTGTGTTTGTGTGCGCGTGCGTGCGTGCGTGCGTGCGTGCGTGCGTGTGTGCGTGTGTGCGTGTGTGCATGTGTGTGAGTGCGTGTGTGCGTGTTTGCGTGTGTGCGTGTGTGGGTGTGTGGGTGTGTGCGTGTGTGCGTGTGGGCGTGCGTGTGTGTGTGTGCGTGCGTACGAGTGTGTGTGTGTGTGTGTGTGTGTGAGCGTTTGTGCGTGTGCGTGTGCGTGTGTGCGTGTGTGCGTGTGTGCGTGTGTGCATGTGTGCATGTGTGCGTGTGTGCGTGTGTGTGTGTGTGTGGTGTGTGGTGTGTGTGTATTTGTGTTTGTGCGTGTGTGTGCGTGTGTGTGTGTGTGTTTCTGTGGCTGTGGCTGTGGCTGTGTCTGTGCCTGTGTGTCCGTGTTTGCGTGTGTGAGTGTGTGTGTCTTGTCCGCCTCGTCGCCGCGCTCGAGGCCGCGACAGCGCAAAAGTGTGTGGTGGGTATTGCTTCTCGCTTGTCGGCCCCCGCATCCGCCTGTTGCAATACACGTTTGGATGCTCGACATTCTCCTGTTCACAGCTTGCCGGGTGTCTCCCTGCACGGTGCACGTTGTTGTTTAGCTTGTGTTCGCTTAGCGCAGCCGCCACATGTTTTGTCTGCACGCGACTCACCATACGTTGTCCTCCCATCTGCAACGTCAGGTGGAACTGGCGCTAGCTGAGCCCCTTCCTAGCTCTCGCTGCAGTGACGTCACTCGGCTGCGGGAGATAAAAGCATGTGTGTGAGTGAGGTAAAGTGGGTGCAGGTGTGTGCGCGTGTGTGTCTTGCCTGGCGCGCTGTCGAAGCTGTGTTGGGGCTTCTTGTTTACCTCATGTGAGAGTTTTCAGATTCGGCGTTTCGACATTGCGCGGAAGAGGGGAGGGAGGGGGTGGGTCTGGCTCTGGAACTCTGCTTGCTGAGGCTGTTTGCAACAGTGCGTCCCATGGGGGAGCGACTCCACATGCCTGAAACAGGCGCCAGAAACAGCCAAGATCTACTTCTTGGGGGGGAGGGGGGGGGCGCGGGCCCGCGCCGATCGGCAAACCAGTGAATATAAACCAATCACCATCTAGGCTCCTCTTGAGGCTATGTTTTGCGATGTCGGATCCATCTGTGGCATCGGGTGGCATGAAAACCTTATCTTGCCGCAAGAAAAAACTGTTCGTGCCACCTTGAAAAGGAGATCATCTAATTATCATTCCAGCAGCCTGGTTTGAAGGGGAACTGGGACACACAAATAAATACACACACAAATTCGCCGGCCCAACGGGCCAGAGGCGTGCTAAGATCTCCGGTAACTGGTTAACAATTCTCTAGTTCGCGCGCGCGGGGCGGCCCCTGGGGGTCTCCGGACGAAAAGTACCCCGGGCGATCCCCGACCGATCCCCGGGAGACTCCCCCAGAGCGCTCCAGGAGCGCTCCATGAGCGCACCAACAGGGCTACGAGACGTCCCCGAGAGCCCCAAGAAAGGCCAAGAGGCCCCCAAGAGGCCCCCAAGATGGTACACGAGGGGTCCGACATGCCACAAGATCGCTCCAAGGCGCCCAAGATAGCCCCCCGACGCCCCAAGAGGCCTCCAAGAGCACTCCCAAGAGGGCCCCCGGAGGCAAAATTCATTGTTTTTTCCTTAGCTTTTTGAAAGATTTTGGAGCTTCCACCTTTTCGGCTTCCCGACGCCCCAAGACGGCCCAAGAGGCCCCCAAGATCGCCCCAAGAGGGCCCAAGAGGCCCCCAAGAGGGCCCCAAGATGGCCCAAGAGGGCTCGAAGACGGCCCAAGAAGCCTCCAAGACGGTCCAAGAGGGCCCCAAGAACGCCCCCAAAGGGGCCCCAGAGAGGGAACACGAAACAACATTTCGAGCCCTCGGCCCTAAGAAGCCCCTACGAGGCCCCAAGAGGCCCCTAAGAGGCCCCAAGAGGCCCCCACGAGGCCCTCAGGAGGCCCCCAAGAGTCCCCCAAGCGGCCCCAGGAGGCCCCCCAAATGCCCCCCCGAGCGCCCCAGGAGTCCCCCAAGCGGCCCCAGGAACCCCCAAAGCGCCGCATTGACACCAGGCCCTCGGGCAAACGGCAGACATGAGACTGTATGGGCCGGCGGAATGAGCGAAGCGATTAAATAAAAGGATTCCCCATATTTTCATATATGTTCTGGGTTTTTTTGTCTTCCCCCCACTTCCCATATTTTCCCATGTTTTCCTGGGAGTCGACGATTAATTATGTCTGTGTGTTTGTTTCCCTCCTGATGGTTGTTTGGAGGGCACGTGTCCAAGCGCGGGAGGCCGCCACCTGGGCCGCAGCCGCTTCCAGCAGCAAGAAGCAGAGACAGCCAGCGCTGGCGAGTTTCGCCCTCGTGGGATCGGCGACGAAGACCTTATCTGCGGGACTTGAGCCTCCTCCTCCTCCTCCTCCTCCTCCTCCTCATCATCATCATCATCATCATCATCATCATCATCGTCATCGTCATCGTCATCATCATCATCATCATCATCATCATCATCATCATCATCATCATCATCATCGTCATCAGCATCATCATCATCATCATCATCATCGTCGTCGTCGTCGTCATCATCATCATCCTCATCATCATCATCGTCGTCGTCGTCATCATCATCATCATCATCATCAGCATCATCATCATCATCATCATCATCACCATCATCATCATCATCATCATCATCATCATCATCATTATCATCTGTTGTCTTGAGGCCATCCTGGTTCGCCTTGGGGCCCTGTTGGCCACCCTCCGGGTTGTCTTGGGGTCATCTTGGGGCCTGCCAACTGTGGACCCCGAGCATTGCACCGCTACTGGGTGCCATGGGAACTCTTTGGGGCATCTCCCAGAGCGCTCCTGTGAGTATTCGGAGCCCTTCTGGATTTATGTCGGAGCCGCCTTGATGTGTGAGAAGCCCGTAGGAATCCAGCACACTAGAACCTCGAAATCATTGCAAAAGCTTTCTGGAATTTGAAATTGCATGCTTTGAGCATGATTTGGACATGCTGGGGCCTCTTGGGTGGCTGTCTGAGGCTGGCTCGGACTGTCTTGACGCTGCTGTGGGCTGTCTTGGAGACATCCTGGGGCCTGCCACACCGCCACTTCCCATACCGCTCGTGGGTCCCGTTCTTACCAAGATTTCGAGGCGAATCCAGCCGTGGCGACGAGGGTGGGGTAGCTAGAGGCCTCCCAGATGGAGGAGTCGAAAGATCTCGCCGCATCGCCGATGCATCACCGATGCATCGGCTACGCCGGCGTGGAGAACATCGGGCTCCACATCTAGCCGCATCGCCGATACATCGGCGATGCGGCGCAATCCTCCGATCCCATCTGCTCGGACCCTATTTTGGGAGGCCTGTGGGCGACAAGCATACCCGCATCCGTGGCCTCGCGGGCTGGGCCCCTGGGCCGCGACCCCGCGTATGCGGAGCTTTTTTTCCCAAGCCGACAAGGTGGGGCCGTTAGGTTTGAAAAAAAAAACGCCCGACACGTCCACCCTGTACACCGCGGCCGGCAAATTCCCAGGTCTTCCGAGAGTCCCCGAGTGCTCCGCCTCGCGCCACTCTGCATACCGCGGCCGCCAGATCCCCAAGTCTCCCCAGTGTCCCCGAGTGTCCCGCCTCGCACCACTATGCATACCGCGGCCGCCAGATCCCCAGGTCTCTTCAGTGTCCCCGAGTGTCCCGCCTCGCGCCGACTCGCCCACTCTGCATAACGCGGCCGCCAGATTCCCAGGTCCTCCGAGTGTCCCCGAGTGCACCGCCTCGCGCCACTCTGCATACCGCGGCCGCCAGATCCCCAGGTCTCCCCAGTGTCCCCGAGTGTCCCTCCTCGCGCCAGCAAATCATAACATGGCAGAGCGGTAGTATAAAGAAGCAAACACTTAGTACAGCACAACACTAGAAACTATGACATAACAGAGCATAGCACCACACCGCCTAACATAACACACCCGAGCAAACCATAGCATATCATGGCATAGCGTGTAGTAACACAACACACCATGCCAGAGAGGTGCATACCATAGCACATCGTCATAGCACATATTAGCATATAACATGTCAACGCAACCATACCATGAGAGCACACCGTATAACTGAACATACCAAGTCAGAACATGTCACAGCCTCACCCTCATGTCATACCATACCATGGTACAACACAGCATAACACCCGATGTTATGTCATATATGAAAATATATAAAATGATATACAGAGCACATCATAACATAACATGGCATCCCCGACCATACCATAACACGCCATACAATAACACACCGCAGCATTTCACAGCATCACAGCACAGGTGGCATGCCATAAATCATCGCAGCACAGATGACAAAACACGACATGGCATGGGGACATACGATGACACATCATAGCATAACACCACATAACATAGCAGCATGATATACGACATACTAATTCATTACGGGCATGACATCACAACGCATAACGCATCATCGCATAAAAACACAAGCCATACCATAACATATCCTTCCATAGCATACCCTGGAAGAACAGACCACATCGTTCCACAACACCAGATCATTTATCATTTCATAACATGACACATCATCTCATGCCAGAGCACAGCATTACATACTGCATCATAGCATAACCCAGCATACGACAGCTACATATAGCAACAACGCCTACCTTATCATACTCTGCCACACCAAGACATACCATAGAACGTCATGACAACGCATGCGATGGCATGATGGGGCATACTAGACATACCATAACACCACACACCATAACAAGGGACAAACCACACCAGAGTATGACGTACTATAACTTAGCATAACCGTCCGTTCACACACTGACATACCATTTCCTAACATTACCCCGAATCACATCATGACAAAGCATGACAAAGCAGTCTATACTATATTGTACTAGACTGTGCCCAAATGCGACGTGCGCGCCGAGATCAGGCTGGCCACAGGAGCAACCAGGCGCAACATCGAACGATCGAACGACGTATCTATCGTGACAGGCGTCACGACGTCACGCCAGCCCGTCTAGAACATAACAGACATAATACAATCCAGCATACTAAGACATGATCAAAACTGCATAATATGACGAATCGAGCACACCGAAACCAGCATGCAACAGCAGAGCTGTACTGCTGGAGCACCTACGCCAAAGAATCTGATACAGCAGTATTGGCGATATCTTCGTGTAGTGTACTTGACTGAAATGAGCAGATCCTGCAAGCCAGCACCACCGACAAACAAAACAGTATACCTAACCTGACCTGAACATATGTATCATGTCGAAACGTGGTTCGACAGAGCAGAGCATACCGTATCATACGAAATCATACAATGACAGGGGTGACCACAACAGAGCATACTTTCACAGACGAGAAGTGCAAACTTCAAGAGGTGCTTCAAACCGTAAAATGCCTCATCACACCATATCAAGCGTGACGTGCATGCCGGGGATAGCCTGGCCAGACGTACAAACAGGCGCAGCAACGACAGATCGGACGACGTATCTGACATGACAGGCGTCACGGCTTCATGCCGTCCAGTCGACAGCATAGCATATCATATTGTAGCATTGCAGAAAGGGACCTTCTCGAACATAACAGAATTAAACACCCTTGAATACAACAACGACAGATTGCACCGTCAAACGCAGCATCCGCGCCTGGCCACCGGAAAAACAGGTGTGGCACCGACCGATTAGACGACATGTCAAACGCGACAGGCGTCACAACTTCACGCCGCCCTGTCGAGAGCAGAACAGAAACGAACATGCGTGTATAGAACAGAACAGATCCGAGTATCATACGTGACACGCGCGCCAAGCCCAAGCTGGCCACAAAAAACAAACAATAGCAACAACAACCGATTAGAACACATACTAAACGTGAAAGGCGTCACGGCGTCACGCCGGCCCGTCCACAGCATAACATAAGATAACATAATGTCACATACTACACTCGGGCAGGAACGAACCTGACTTACTATAGCACAATACCGCGTATACGCCAGCCACAAGTTCACGGCGTCTCATCAAACGCGACATGCACCCCGTCGTCAGAGGAGGACGGGGCGTCTGGAGCAGGAAGAGGAAGGGGATGTCCGCCTCACCTCCTCCTCCTCCTCCTCCTCCTTCTTCGTCTGCCTCCTCCTCGTGCTGCTTCTGCCGCTCCTCCTCCTCCTCTTCCTCTTTCAAGAAGCCGCATATTCTCTCCGAACAAGCTTTGGGATCTGGCAAGACGGCTTTGGGGGTGTTGGCCATGGCCTGGCCGCCGCGCTGGCCGAGACCGCCGGGCCCTGCGCACATCTTTCCAGTAGGCGCGCGCACCGCTGCGAACACACGCCGAAGGTATCGGTGGCGATCGTTTGAAGCAAAATAATTTTAGAAGATGCCCAACGCGGAGCGTATCCGCCCGACCGCGCATCCGCGGGGACACGCCCCAAGATCCAAGCCGCGATGGCGCGGATACGGCAAGACGAAGCCAAGGCGAGGATCACAGCCGATGGGGATAAACCGAGCATCTCTAAAGCAAAGCGGCCCTGGAACGTGCATCGGGCGCCGCGGCCTCCTCAGAGCGTTCTGGGACGATCTGAGAGCGTCCTGGAACGCTATGGAACAGATCTTATTCTCGTCCTGGCCTCGTCCGATACGTTAGGAGGAGGCAACTACTGGGAGGTTTTCGTCGGAAGGATTAAGGAGGATTAAGTCCCATTGGGGGGCTGTTGCGCCAGAGTGGGCCTCGGATCAAGTGGAATAAGCCGGATTGAGCGGGATCAAGCGGGATTGAGCCGGATTAAATGGGATTAAGCGGGATTCAGCTGGATTAAGCGGGATTTCGGACCAGGGCTAAATCAGAATTTGACCTCCCAAGACACGCATCCGAAGATACGGCTACGGATGCCGCTCATGAGACCCCCCCCCGCGCCGGCGCGCGAGGCCACCCTCGGCTTCTTCTCGGGCGGCGGCTCGGCCGGGTCCGCAGCGCCGCCGTCGGCCGCGGCCGCTTCCTCGCGGGCAGCTGGCGCGCGCGCGCGCGGTGGGGTGGTGATGAGGACGATGAGGGGAAGGGCGACGAGGGGAGCGACGAGTTGTGCTGCCCGCCGAGAGCCTAGGGAGGGACGCCCCCTCAGCATCGAAGGCCTCCTGCGGTGGCTGTCCCCATTCCCTACAATTGGCATCACCGTTTTCTCGATGCCGTCTTTAAGGGTTCCCCCCGTTTCTGAGGGCAGGTCCCCAAGACTGTCATCGCCTCTGGCTTGTCAAGCACAGGGTTAGGTCGGACCTGTCCTCCTACAGGCGGATTTTGTGCGAACAATGAAAGATCTTCGAAAAACATTCCAAAAAGAAACAGGAAGGGTCGAAGCATCCTCCACCGACTATGTTTTAAAGTACTTCTGGGCATTCCTCCTGTAGAGGGGCCCGCCCGACTTGAGCATAGGGGGGGGGACGACCTCGACGCTGGGCAGGGACGGGGGAGGGGCGCAAACAGCATCGGGCGTACAGGGCGCGTCGGCGGCGCGCCCACGGGGGGGGGGAGGAGGCCGAGGGATGCAAGGCGGGGCGGGCATGCTCAGAGGGCTCGGGAGGCCTGCCAGCCGTAGGTCAACATTGGCCAACAAATACTAAACCAAAATCGTCCCCATATGTTTTTTGGGGCTATGTTTGAATACCCCTCCTGTTGAGGGACAGGCCCGACTTACTGCCAGTCTTCTGAGCAGCTTCCCAAGCCTGCTCCGAAGCCCCGCGCTGCGCAAGGCCGAATGCTCTCCTATGTGCCGATTGCCGTGTGGCCTTCCAGTCCAGTCCATTCCAGGGAACCTTGGCTCCCAGATGTTGTTGGGCGAGCGAACGGGCGAGCGAACGCTGAGCAGGAGCCGCGCGCTGGCCTGGCTGCGGCCGTTCGCCTGTGCCCGTGCTGAGGCGTAGGAAGGGGGCAAACAAACTCGTGCGCACGGAATGGAGGGCGCCGACTGGTGAGTAAATTCTAATCCGCTGAAGAAGCCCAGTGTTGAAGGGCATGTCTCCGGGAGCTGGATGCCGCAGCCTGGTCCAACTGCCAAGCCACTAGCGCTGGCCAGCTTCGCCCTCGCGGGGCCGCTCATGAGAAACGTGTTGTTGATAGATCTGAGCCTCCTGGGGGGCCCCGCGAGGTACGGGGGGAACGTTGGGCGTCTTCGTCGTCGTCGGCGCCGGCGTCGGCGTCGTCATCGTCGTCCGCGCCATCCTCGTCGTTTTTCTCGTCGTCGCTGCCGTCTCCAATGTTGACATCGACCTGGAATTGGCAACGTGTCGCATACATCTCGGCGATACACACACCCTCGCAAGCAGACCCACACGCTCCCGGGCGGCATGGGCAGGCGGGTCCCCGTCGGCGATGAAATGGGCGACTCTTGGGGCAGATGCGCTGCGCCCCCCCCCCCCCTGAGAAGTGTACAATTATACCCCCCCTACTGCTGCGCCCGAAGAAAGTCGGGGGAACCCAAAGTTTGCGGGAGGTCGCCTGCTACCTCGCGCACCGGGCCCCGAGATGCGCCATTACATAAATCTTCGCGCCCCCGCGAAACCACTGTAGAAAGGCGGCTCTTCGTCCCGGGGTGCGACTGGCGAGGCGCGATTATCTTCGCGCCCATTCGGCGTTGAGCGGGAGAGGGAACCAACGAAAGCTGAGCACGAGCCACGCGCGTGCGCGGCGGCTTGTTCTGAGGGCTCAGCGGGAGTGGGCAGGACCGCCTTGCCAGAGGGCGTCCGCAGATTTGGACGCCCGGAATGGGCACGGAAAGAATGGGCACAGTGCCCAACAGCAGTTCCTGTTCACATTGAACAGGACTCGCTGTCCACGCCGCCGCGGCCTGTCCATTCGAGACAGGAGGCCGCCTGCCCAACAGCGGCCGCTGCTGGTTTGGGACAACATTTGTTGCTGGGCTTTGCACCCATTCTTTCCGTGCCCATTTCGGGCGTCCAAAACAGACGGTGCGGGACGCCTGCAATCGGGCCTCCTGCGTCCTGCCACAGGCAGACCGCTCCAAAACCAAACCATGTGCACAGGGACAAAAGCTCCACAAAACGGACCGCATCTGTGGGATGGGGGAGGCGGGTCCTGAGGGCAGCGGCGAAAGACCTCAGGACCCGTTTCCCTCAGGACCCGCTGCCCCCATGGCGCAACGCCTCGGCCCTCGGCCCCCGTGCTCTTCCCAGCCCCACTGCGGCCCTCCGGGCAGGCTTCTGGCGGCTGGGCAAGAGAGCGGCCGCTGGAAGGTAAGCAGGTCGGGCCGCGGAAGCGCGGGTTTACCCCCGATGGCCGAGCAGGGCGGGGACGCCCGCCGCGGCTCGCGCAAGGCGTAATCGCGAAACCGACGTGGCTTCGTGTACGCGTACGTCCTTCTTCCGCTCCTGATGCATTGCCCCCCTCGTGATCTGTGGTTGAGGGGCCCTGGGCATGCGCGCTCTTCGGCCCGCTCCCGGGGCCCACTCGTGCGAGCGAGGCTCTGGAGGCCTGGGGAGCGCGGTCGGGAAGCCACGCTTCCCGTGGCCAGAGAGGCCCGCAATGGTCTCCGGGCCCGTCCTGGGGAGCCTCCTCGGGTGCCCCATTGGGCCCGCCTTGAAGGCCACGTGGGCTGGCCCAGGAGGCCCAAACCGTGGAACAGGTAACACCTGCTCCACCGTTTTACCCTCTGCGTCTTCAAGACTGCGCAAGACTGCCCATGAGGCTATCAGGCTCGCGCCAAATCGGCTTCCGAGCCAACTGGAGGGGCCCAAGAGGCTCCCAAGACGGCCCCAAGAAGCCCCCAAGAGGCCCCTGGCGGAACCCAACTAAGCTTCCAAGAGGCTCCCCCATGAGAACTCCCAACAGACCCTGAGAGGCATCTAGAAGGTATCTAGTCAACAATCCAGGCACGGTGTCGGGCTAGGTCAAAGACTTATAGATAACAACACATGCGGTGGCACAGCTGCGTCTGCGGGTCTGAATATGCAATGTGGTAATGGATTGCTGCTTGGGGAGGGAAGGCGAATGAGGAATTGAGGGCGGGTAGCGGAACTCTCTTGACACACGAAATGATTATCCCATCCGATGCCAAACATACACGCGTGCATGCTTGCTCAGATGCTCCAGAATGCACAGACATGCCAATACGACCTGCAACCGTAGTAGACCGAATTCGTCCACGCATCAATACCTGCACAAGTGTGGCCGATGTTCTACCTATCCACTCCTCGAACGCCAAATAATCCGACTTGCAAGAGCTGTTGGCCAGGGCGCCCGTCCCTACCTACCTGCGACAACAGCTCTAGTATCCAAGGAAGTACCATCTAGCCTGCATCAAGAAATCTGCCGACCCTGTCGGCGTGTGCGAGGGCTTGTCCGTTCGAGGCGTCGTCTCTGTCATTCGTCAGTCGTCGTCTCTGTCGTCCCTTCTCCCTGCGCTCCCCCTTTCCCTGGGCCCGTTGCCGCTCCCCCCCTTTTCCCTGGGCCTTCCTTATCAAACGCTGGGCCCGTCGCCGCTTCCACCCCCCTTCCCTAGGCCCTCCTCCTCAAGTCAAGCGTGCCAGACAAAGCGAAATTGAGCAACGTCGCGATTCATTCGAAAGGAAGCCCCTTCCCGTTGATCCCTTCCCCGCCGGGAGGGGGGGGGGTGTCCCGGGGGGGTCCCAGGGGGGGGTCCCGGGTCAGATACGACCCCCAAACTGTCCCCCAGAGGCCCCCGAGAGCGCTTCGAAGAGATCCCAAGAAGCATCCATGAGAACTCTGCCCACGTCAGCGTCGTCGTCGTCGCCGCCGCCGTTGTCGTCGCTCCCCTTTAGGGTCGGCGGCTTCGGCCGTAAGGCCTTCACAATAATATCAGCGGGCCCCGCCAGAACGACTGAACTCAGGCACGAAAGCCACTGGGCCTTGCCCAAAGGTCCAAAAACCGATTGGCACTGTGCCTTGCCCCATCCCTGGCCCAACCCTCGAGATAGCCGCGCGAAATTCGGATTGGCCTCCTGGGCTCATTCAACACGACGGCTGCACTCTCCAGTGCTACTGCGATAAGCGCTTTTCAATGATCATGATTACCATCCTTACGATGGTCACTACACTTCAGCACCCAACGGGAACAATCCTCCGGATCCGCCGCTTCATCCTGGCACACATCCGAGTCCGCCGCATCGTCCTGGCCGTCCTCGGAATCCGCATCGTCGTTCAGCACTGCGTGCGCCTCTAAGATGAGCTGAAACACCTGACGCGAGCTGAAGCTGGCAGGAAGACGTAAAAGCAGGAGTACAATCAAACAGTGTCGCGTGGTAGACATACTGCCAAAGTCGGCATGCGTGCGAGTGCTGAGAACCAGGTGCTCGGAGGGGCCAGAATGCCCAGAGGACAGCTGGCGCACATGCCCAATTCGAGTCTGCTGCGCCCTGCTCTGTCGCTCACCGCCTCGTAGAGAAACTGGTGGGCACGCGCGCTGCCAATCTGCACGGGGAAACTCCGTCATCACAGTCCTGTCCTCGTGCCCACTCTCAACCTCGCTGGGCGAGGGGGACAAGCGGGAGAAAAATTGGCTCAGTGGGGCAGTTAGCATCCACCTGGGATCCACACCACGTCGCTGATAGATCGGCGATCGGCCCTCGATGGCGAAACTGAGCGTCCCTGGGCGCGCCAGGTCATCGGGCCCCTCTTGGAAATGCATGGGAGATCGGAGGTCCATGCGACAGGGGATATGTCGACCCCTTATCCCAGGCTCCGTGGTGCTTTCGACAGAGACCAAACATGTGTGGGCCCAACCCTGGGACATACGATGGCCTCGAAAAAGGGTGCGCCCGAGTAGCCCCATCGGAGTGTATCCCAGGGTAGGGTGCCCCCCTCTTTCTGAGTGGACGAACTTTTCGGGCGGAACTTGGGGATCGGTTGGCGGCGAGGGAGGGTAGGAAGTGGCAAGGAGAAGGCATTTTCAGAAGTCTCGGAAATCCCCCGGCCTTCTGAGAATCTTTTTAAGCCTTCCCTGAAGACATAGGACACTTCTCAGCAAACTGGAGGCCTCCTGAGAAGCCACGCCGCCTTCTGAACAGGCCTTCTCTTCCTCGCTTCCCCCCCTCGCTCGCCGCCGAAACATCGGCTGCGGCCCTGCGTCCCCCCCCAAGCCGGTCCCAAAACTCCCCCGATCTGGAGGCCAGGCCTCAGCAAGGCCACCCCTCCCTTCCCTGGGGCCTTCCCCTCCCTGCTCCGCCGCCCAGGACCAGAGGAAGCGCGCCCAGGCCCCTCGGAGGCCCCTTCGGAGGCCCCTTCGGAGGCCCCTCGGAGGCTCCTTCGGAGGCCCCATCGGAGGCGCCCGGGAGGCGCCTCGGAGGCCCCCAAGAGCCCCGCCCTCGGCGGCCGTCGCTGCCCAGGTCCGTGGACGAGATCTCGTCGCCCCGACACGAGCTCGATGTGCGCATGGCTCCCTCCAGGGGCACAGCGGCGGGTCCCGCAGGAGCCCGATCGGGCCCCTACGCCGGTGTCGAGCTCACAGTGAGAGCGATCCGGGGCGGGTCGCGAAGCTCGCGTGTTCGTGGCGAGCCCCTCCCAGTCGTGACGACGAGAAGACGCCGAGCGACACAGCATCGAAATGAGAGGGGCCGACATCCTCCCAGACCACCGACGTCATGATTTTTTCATGACGCGACCCCAGAGGTCCGGACCCATTCCCCGGGACTGGTTTTTCATCCTGAGTCGTTTTTTGACGCTCCTGAGGGCCGGTAAGGGCCCCCGGAGGCCGAAAATAGAGAAAAACCTCCCGTCGTTTTTTTTCATGATTCGAGGGGGTCTGGGCTCGTGGCGGCAGCGGGCGGAAGCGGGGGAGCCGATGCCTCCTTCGCCCCGTGCTTCGTGACCAGCGCGTCGATGGCCTTCGGAGGGTCTGCCTCGAAGCTGGCTCCCAGGCCGCTGGCATCCACGGCCTGCGCGCGCGGCAAACGGTCGGGCGGAGGGCGCAGGGTGCAACCCATACCGTCGGGGCCTTGACCTAAGGAGCCCTAAATCAGGAAAGAGGCCCCTATTTTCCAGAAGCTAAACTTCGATTTCCGATCGAAAACCTAAGGAAAGCCTAAGGCAAGCTGCGAAACACTTAAGGAACACCGAGCCCCTCCCCAACGAAAAGGGTTCCTTCCTCAGCGCCCCGACTGTACGGGCTTCTGCACCTCGAGAAGCAATCCGTCTTGTGCCTCACGCTTTGCAGATTCAGGCCTCGAAAATATGTCGAAGCGGCACTTCAGGTTTCACCCTTTGCCCTCCACCCAGAGAAGATGCTCGGGCAAACGTCTGCTAGGACACACTGGGAGACGAACTGACGGAGGGACAGGACGACGGAGAGACAGGCATAGAGGCAGACAAGACGGCAGAAAGCAGAGAGACGGATACAATGACTCACAATCTTACAGTTCGGTCGAGCATTTCCTCCTACAGGCAGATTTTTGAGCTAACCAATATTCAGAAATATTAAATATTGTCAAAAGTACGCAAACAATCGTGCCAATACTATTGTTTGACTATGCTATTCCGCCTGTAGAGAGACATGCCTGGCTTAATCTTACAAGAAAAACTACCAATACTGCAGACTGGAACATCTACGGACTACGCCGTGGAGCTGAGGTATCGAGCCCGGGCGAAGCACACCGGCCACCACGCTGGAGGGCCATGATCTTCGAACCCACTTCGCTTGGAGTCGCAACTCGATATGTCGACGATGGCGACTGATACCACCGATCGCAGAAGGGCCAAGCCAGGTCGCTGCTAATGTCTGCCGCCCTCTGCACCTGTCCTGGCGTCTTTCTGGCGGCGGCGTAGCCGACATGGCAGGAGAAGCTCACCAATCAGAGCACCCGCGAAGGGAGTCCTTGTCGAGGTTTCTTTTGCTTTGAGTGTGCACCCAGATTTCCCGCTGCGTGTAGCGAGGGCGACATCCAAAGTGTACAAAGGTGGGGGAGTGGGACGGAGCAGGGCGCGAAATGCAGGGAGGAGAGGGATACGACACGCCACAAAATTTGAAGCCCCTGGACGCGACAACGGTCTGGCTGGCTGGGCCAGCCAGCTCCGAACTGGGCCGCCCCGGACAGAAGCACGATCGATCAGCGAAATTCATGATGCCGAACCGAGCTGGAGGGCTCATCATAATCACCCCCGCCATCCTTGCCATCGCTCGGACGTCCATTCCCCGTACATGCTTCGGCTTCGTGCGTTTTTGTTGGCAAACTGATGCCAGATGCTCCTCGATGGCCCTCGATGATCCCAGAAGGCTCCTCGATGATCCCAGGGGGCTCCCTCCTGATGCTTAACGATTGTCCTCGCCGCGGGAAACATGCGCACTGCCGAGCGACTCCAGGCATCCGGAGAACCAGCGTGGCCCAGTGGGCCAGGCGGGGTTGGACAGGCAGGTGGGGTCTTCAGCGAAGGGCGGGCGCCAGCGCGATCCGCTCACGCGGCTGGCTTCTCCGGCGCCTCTGCCGCGCGGCAGGCGCCACGTGCGCCCGCGGCAGCGCCCGGGCGGCCGGGCCGATCTCCAGCGGCACGCAGCAGAGACGCGCACGGCAGGCCCGGGCCGTGACGGCCCCCCCCGGCGTTGGTCTGTGGCACCGCGCGCACCGCGGAGCCTCCAACGATCGCTGGAGGCTCGACCGCCACTTCGCTCCATCGTTTGCCGATCCTGAAAGGCTGAACGAACCTGCCGTACACCCCCTTTCCCCATCCCCCCCATTCGTCGGGCTTGACCGCCCGCGCTGGGGCCGCTGCTGCGTCGGCACGACGCGGACCTACCGTACACGACACGAACCTACCGTACGCCCCCCGCTTCCCAATTCCCCCCCCTTGCCGGCGACTCCGAAGGGTGCGGCCGGCAAAAAATGTGGCTTACAACCCGCGCCTGGGGGGGGGGACGGGGCAGGACCTCGACAGAGATCTCCGCCGCGCCTCGACGAGGGCTCACCAAAGCCTCGGCGCAGCATGGCGGCCCCTGCGCCCCAACGGCGGCGGTCGCAACCACCACTCCGGAGTCACTCCGGCGTACAGTCGGGGTGTTGACCTAAGGAACCCTAAATAAGGAACGAGGCCCCTTTTCTCCATAAGTTACCTAACAGCTTGTGCTGATAGGTTTCTAGTAGGGTCAAAAGAGAGCATCATGACACACCAGGGGGGTCCGGGCGGAAACCGGCAGAAACCGGGAGAATCCGGCGGAGCTCATGTGTAGCCAACAGTTACACACGTCGTGGTCTTCGAGGTCCCAAAACTCCACTCCCGGGCCACATTCTGAATGCCCGGAGCCAACTGTAGGCCACTTCGTGGTCTTCGAGTTCCCAGAACTCCATTCCCAGGCCACATTTTGAATGCCCGGAGCCAACTGTAGGCCACTTCGTGCTCTTCGAGTTCCCAGAACTCCATTCCCGGGCAATTTTGAGGCAGGCTGATGCTGAGGCTGAGGCAGGCTGAGGCTGAGGCAGGCTGGCTGAGGCCGAGGCTGAAGGCAGACTGAGGCTGAGGCTGATGAGGCTGAGGAGGCTGAGGCTGAGGCAGGCTGAGGCTGAGGCTGAGCAGGCTGAGGCTGAGGCAGGCTGAGGCTGAGGCCGAGGCTGAAGGCAGACTGAGGCTGAGGCTGAGGCTGAGGCTGAGGCTGAGGCAGGCTGAGGCTGAGGCTGAGGCAGGCTGATGCTGAGGCAGGCTGAGGCTGAGGCTGAGGCTGATGCAGGCTGAGGCTGAGGCAGGCTGAGGCTGAGGCCGAGGCTGAAGGCAGACTGAGGCTGAGGCTGAAGCAGGCTGAGGCTGAGGCTGAGGCAGGCTGAGGCTGAGGCTGAGGCAGGCTGATGCTGAGGCAGGCTGAGGCTGAGGCTGATGCAGGCTGAGGCTGAGGCAGGCTGAGGCTGAGGCCGAGGCTGAAGGCAGACTGAGGCTGAGGCTGAAGCAGGCTGAGGCTGAGGCTGAGGCAGGCTGAGGCTGAGGCTGAGGCAGGCTGATGCTGAGGCAGGCTGAGGCTGAGGCTGAGGCTGATGCAGGCTGAGGCTGAGGCAGGCTGAGGCTGAGGCCGAGGCTGAAGGCAGACTGAGGCTGAGGCTGAAGCAGGCTGAGGCTGAGGCTGAGGCAGGCTGAGGCTGAGGCTGAGGCAGGCTGATGCTGAGGCAGGCTGAGGCTGAGGCTGAGGCTGATGCAGGCTGAGGCTGAGGCTGAGGCTGAGGCTGAGGCTGAGGCGAGGCTGAAGGCAGACTGAGGCTGAGGCTGAGGCAGGCTGAGGCTGAGGCTGAGGCAGGCTGGCTGAGGCTGAGGCTGAGGCAGGCTGAGGCTGAGGCTGAGGCTGAGGCAGGCTGAGCTGAGGCAGGCTGAGGCTGAGGCTGAGGCTGAGGCTGAGGCTGAGGCAGGCTGAGGCTGAGGCCGAGGCTGAAGGCAGACTGAGGCTGAGGCTGAAGCAGGCTGAGGCTGAGGCAGAGGCAGGCTGAGGCTGAGGCTGAGGCTGAGGCAGGCTGATGCTGAGGCAGGCTGAGGCTGAGGCTGAGGCTGATGCAGGCTGAGGCTGAGGCAGGCTGAGGCTGAGGCCGAGGCTGAAGGCAGACTGAGGCTGAGGCTGAAGCAGGCTGAGGCTGAGGCTGAGGCAGGCTGAGGCTGAGGCTGAGGCAGGCTGATGCTGAGGCAGGCTGAGGCTGAGGCTGAGGCTGATGCAGGCTGAGGCTGAGGCAGGCTGAGGCTGAGGCCGAGGCTGAAGGCAGACTGAGGCTGAGGCTGAAGCAGGCTGAGGCTGAGGCTGAGGCAGGCTGAGGCTGAGGCAGGCTGAGGCTGAGGCTGAGGCAGGCTGAGGCTGAGGCTGTGACTGCGACTGCCGTTGCCACTGCGACTGCCATCGCGAATGCGACTACGACTGCGAGAACAGCAGAATTCTACAACAAGATTCTCATCTGAATCTTAATACGAATGCTTCCGGACATGCTCATACACATCGCTGTTAGGTTGCTTTGCCGGGATAATTGAGCTTCGATTTCCTATCGAAAGCGTAAGGAAAACCTGAGGCAAACTGTGAAACACTTGAGGAACGCGGAGCCCCTCCCCAACCAAAAGGGTTCCTTCTTCAGGGCCCCGACTGTAACCGCACCCACTGCAATCGCCGACCTTCGCCCACCCGCCCCGGCCGGGGCCTCCAGGGCCTCCTCCTCCGGGAGCGCGTCGGTGTCGAACAGCCGGACCAGGTCGGCCCGCGACGGCTCCGTGCCGGCGGCCGCGGCCGCCCGGAGGCTGTCCAGCAGGCTCTTGCCCACGAAGACGGTGCCCCCCTCGGCCTCGCCCTCGCCGTCCTCCGCCTGCCGCTCCGCGGCGCCCACGGCGGCGGCGCCGGCGGCGATGCGGCGGCGGCGGGAGCGGCGGCGGCAGCGACGAGGGCAGAGGTGGCCGCGGCGAGAGCCAGAGGTGGAGGCGACGGCTGCAGCGGCGGTGGCGGCGGCATCGTCAGCCTGCTGCTCCGAGGCCTCTGGCTCCTCCTGGCCGTCGCCACCCTCGTCGGCTGCCTCGGCGCTCGCTGGCTCGCCGTCGGCCGCGGCGAGGGGCTCGTCGGGGTCGGCCATGGCTTTCAGGCAGTACTGCATGTCCTGGAAAGGCAGCAAACATACTGACGCTGCTACTCCTTGGACCTCTCCCCAGGTGCGTTCGGGCCAGAAATCCGAAGCGAATCCAGCCCTGGCGACGAGGGCCTCCCAGGAGGCCCAAAAATGCAAGGGGTCAAAAATACCGGAATCGGTTCCGAGACCCCGACGTCGTGTTTTTCTTCGTAGCGTGGACCCCCGGGACCGGCATTCCATCCCGAGTCGTTTTTGCTGAGGCCCTGGGGCCCTGCAGTGGCCCCAAGAGACCCAACACGGCAACAAAAAAACAGCGTCGTGCTTTTTGCACGGCCCGAGGGGAGCTGGGTATCCTTTCCTCCTGTGAGGTCCATGGCCACCGTCTGCTCCAGCCAGAAGTCCGACAGCTCCTCGGCGCCCTCGGCGGCGGCCTCCTCGACAGCCTGCTCCTCGGCCGCCTCCTCGTCCTCGTCGGGGTAGACGAAGGACCTCTGCTCCTCCGCTCGGGCGCGGTCACGTCGCCTGGACATCTCCTGTGAGCACAGCTAGACAGATCCAACACCCCCACTGGCGCAACCATGGCCACATTGGTCGACCTACCACCTCAGGAGGGTACGTACGTAAGTATGTCTGTACGTATGTATGTATGCATGCATGCATGTATGCACGTACATACGTACGTAAGTTTGTACGTACGTACGTATGTATGTATAGTTGCATGCATGTTTCTACGTATGTACGAATGTACGAATGCGTGTGTCTATATATATATATATAGATGGATGGATGTATGGATGTATGCGCGTATGTATATATACGTGTGTGCATGCATGCTATGCATGTATGCGTATATGCATACATGCATGTGTGCATGTCTGTATATATATATATGTATAAATGTATGCATGAATGACGAACGCATGTCTGTACGACTGCATGTATAATGCATGTATGTATACATGTATGTATGCATGCATGTGTGTGCATGCATGTTTGTATGTAACTATATATGCGTGCATGCATGTGGTGGTGTATGGCTGTATGTATGTGTGTATGTACGTGCGTATGTATGTGTGTATGCATGTATGTGTGCGTATGAATGTATGTAGGTATATGTATGCATGTATGCATGTATGCATGTATGTATGTATGTATGTATGTATGTATGTATGTATGTATCTGTGTATGTATGTTTGTATGTAAGTATGTATGTTTGTATGTATGCATGCATGTATGTATATATGTATGTATGTATGTACGTATGTAGGTATGTGGATGCATGTATGTATGGATGTATGTATGCATGCATGCATGCATGCATGTACGTGTGTATGTACGCATGTATACATGTATGTATGGGTGTGTGCATGCATGCTTGTATGTATGTATGCATGCATGTATGGATGTATGCATGTATGCATGTATGCATGTATGCATGCATGCATGTATGTATGCATGTATGCATGTATGCATGTATGTATGTACGTATGTATGCATGCATGCATGGATGGATGGATGGATGGATGGATGGATGTACGGCCGTCTTGGGCCGTCCTAGGCTCTTCTTGGGCGCGTATTGGGCCATCTTGGAGCTGTCTCGAGCGCTGTGGAGACCGAGAAGCCAGGTATGCGAAAACGGCACCCAAACCGACGGACAACCTATCATTGTCGCCTCAGTCGGGCCCCCTCGGGCCATCTTGCGAGCCCGTTGGGGCGTCGAGTGGCCATCTCGGGCCCATCTTGGGCCCTCTTGGACCCATCGTGGACGTCTTGGGGCGCTCGTCGGGCCCTCCATGCGGCCGCCCGAGGCCCTCCGTGGCCGTCTTGGGGCCACCTGGGACCACCTCGGGCCGAGGCGTCTTTCAGAGGCTCGGACCCCACATTCGCAACAGATCTCCCTGGGACTCCCCGCGTGCCCCCCCGCGGCTCCGCGCGTGACTCGTGTGGGCCCACGAGGCGCGAAGAGGGTCCCCCCCCCCCGCCAAGACGGTCCAGGAGGGCCCCGCGCCGCAGAACACTCGGTCCACGACGCCCCAACATCCCCAACATGGCCCCCGTCGGCCGAGAGAGTGCCCGAGACGTCCCGAGAGGCCTCCAAGAGCACCGCCACCAGGGCCCCGAGAAGAGGTCCTCAAGACCGCCCCAAGAGGGCCCAGGAGGCTTCGACCAAGAGGGCCCCGGAGACGGCCCAAGAGGCCTCCAAGATGGTCCAGGAGGCCCCTAAGACGGCTGCAAGAGAGGGGGCCCAGACGGGGGGCCTGAACGGACATGTCGAGCCCTTGGCCCCAAGAAGCCCGCAAAAGGCCCCCAAGAGGCCCTAAGAGGCCCACAAGGCCCACAAGAGGCCCCCACGAGGCACCAACACTGCCCCCCGAGGCCCCCGAGAGCGTGCCGAAGAGACCCCAAGAAGCAATCCTGAGAAGTCTGACCCGCACGGTTGCGGAACGGGTCGAAGGCCATTGTGTGTATATGTATGTATATATATATATATATATATATATGTATATATACATGTATATATATATGTATGTGTATACATGACCACTATATATGCATACATATATATATATATATATATATATATATACGTATGTATATATATATATATGCGTATGTAAATATAGTGTGTATACGGGTTTACGTATCTAGATGTCTACATCGATATAAACAATAAGTGTGTCTGCATATATTTTGAATGGCAATGTACATTATATAATTGTATACATACTACACACGCAGCGGAGCGAATCCCCACCTAGGAGGCTGGGCTGGTGGGGCTGAGACACGAGAAGCCAGTGGGGATGGGGATACAGGCCGAGTTCTGCTTAGCGTGTCGCGGCGGCGGCCCCGGCGACACGCTAGACGCTATGCTCTGCGAGCGGATAGCGTGTCGCTCCGCGTCGCGACGCGGGAGACCGGGAAAGGCTCGGGACGCTGACTCCTGGGGACTGGGACGTGGGCAGCGCGTCGTCCCCCAGCGTGGTGGGCCAGCACCGGCGGCGCGACGACACGCCAAGCCAGAGTTTCTGAGTGCAGGTTCCATGCGGGCCCCAAGCCTACACACCAGCACCACGCCGATCCCTCCTCCCTCCCCCACCCCTCCTCTTCCTCTCCTTCTCTCCTGGGAGAGAGGGAGGGGACGAGGGAGGTGCTGGTGGTGCACACCTCTGGGCCCCGCGTTGGACGCTGCTGCATCCTGGGCCACGATGTCCGCCACGGTGGCCTCCTCCGCCGCGAGGCCCTGCTGCGTGGCCCCCTCCAGGGCGCTGTAGCCGGCGCGCGCCAGCTCCTCGGGCCGCGGTGGGCCAGGGGCGCTCTGCGGAGGAGCAGCTTCATGTGGCCCCTCCTCGACTGCTGCATGGAACTACTTCGAATCACACTGGTAGTAAGAAAGCACATGAAATGACACTCTGGGCAAACATCTGCGCAAAAAATCTTCGAACTAACCTCTGTGGAACATCACACGAAAAGAGATGCATGGTCCCCGACCTGAATTCCTCCTCCTTCTCTTCCTCCTCCTCCTCCTCCTCCTCCTCCTCCTCCTCCCTGAGAGACGGCCCGAAACAAGAACCCCTCCTGAACCCCACGTGGTCCTTACATCAAACATCTTGACAAGTTATCTGAAGCCCCGAGGCCCTCGAAAGGGCCACCGGGGCCAGAGGCGCAGCTCAGAGCCACCAGAAGCCTCCGGTCGTACATCTTCCAAACACGTGAGGATTTTGCACTGGGTCGGACAGCGGGCCCAGGACCTCTCCTGGAGCGACCTCCGACGAGGATTTCGAGGCGGGTCCAGCCGTGACGGCGAGGAGGCGCAACAGAGGCCAACGCGCCCCGAAGCACGTGTCCTCGATCCTCGGTCGACCACGGTCCGGCACTGTTTCTTGGCATTTATCGCTGGCCATCGCTCGGACGTCCATTTCCTGTGTTTTTTGGTTTCGTGCGTGGTTTTGTCGCCAAATGATCGAGGATGCTCCGC